AACCATTTTTATTAAATATTTTACATTATTATGGGTTTTTGTATATTAATACATATTTGAGGATATTTTTGTTATACTGTATATGTTTCTAATCTTGTTTAACATATTTTTATATATTTATGCAAATTCAAGGTTATTTTTGATAAAAACATACTGTACATATATTTCTACTCTTGTGTAACGTTTTGTGCCCAACAAGTCACTTAACGATGTAAAATAAATCTCTAGCCCTGTTGCCAAATAAAGAGGTCCAGGCTCTTTCTAAGAGGGTATCTGAGCCCAGAAAAACAGCCTACTGCAGGTTCCCAGGCTTACCGGGTCCTGTGGGGAGGAATTAGCACCAGCTTGGACCCCGCTGGCATGTGTGCCTCCACGGGAGGCCTTAGTTCCGTGACCCTGGCACTAGCACAGGCTACCTCCCCTGGGCAAGGGCCACAGATCTTTGGCACGAGGCTTCACATGGCACCTGCAGAGGGGAGGCTGCCATTCAGTCCCTAGCACCTTAGTTTCCAGGGAGAACAAGCCTTCTCTTTGGAAAGGAGACCCTTCCCCACTCCGGGAACCTCATTGGGGATCCCCCAAGGACCTGGCTCCAACCTCAGCTCCATCCACAGTGAGCTCCTAGCTGTATAGCACAAGCTTCCCACACCCCCACCTCAGTACTCACAGCAACCTAGCAGCTTTTCTCTGAATGGGATTCCAGAGGCCCCACTTGGAACAGAAGTGGATGAAGGGAATCACAGTTGTGCCAAACTGGCACATTCCCAAAGACCCCCAAAGAGAGACTGGGGAGGGGATGATCAATGGCTGACTTGACTGGTGGGCTGGGAGGAAAGCTAGTAAACCACCAGAGGCCCCATGAGGAATCCATTCTAGGGAACTTTTCAGGTCAGGATTGGTGGGCCATCTGGAAGACTCAACTTAGTTCCTTGGCAAGGCCACATCCTTCACCATGGGAGACTCCTCTTGAGCCCTCACACTAAGCCCAAGGATTGGGGAGCACCAGGCCTGGCTGAGGTGGCGCTGGGAAATGCTAGCTTTTTCACATAGGCAGTGGGCAGAAGTGGAAGAGGAAGGCCCTTGAAGACACTCCTGCCTGTAAGAGCTGGGAAGACCTTGGCATTGGCTGCTATAGGGGGAGGGAACACCCCGGACTGTCTAAGGAAGCCCTCCTCCCCCGAGTCCTCCTGCACGGTGCTGGTGGACTCCAGGTCAGCACAGGGACTTCAGGGGCAAGCATTCCCCTCTCGTGGATACTCTGGCCCCAGTCTCTACCTGCTGTAGCAGGGAGCTGTGAGCAGAGGTGGGCAGGATTACACAGCCCAAGAGGAGGGATGAGCCATCAGCTGGGCTTATTCCTGAGCAGCGACTAAGGGAGCCAAAGCCTTTGTTTGGTTTTAATACAGCTAAGATGGCTCTCCCGTTAGTGAGCTCCCCTGTGGAGTGGGGTGCGGAGGAGGCTCAGTGCCGCCCCAAGACCGGGCACTGAGGGAAGAGTAATGCGCCCTGGGCTCGGGAGATGATGCTAGGAGTTCGAGCGTCAGCGCGCTGGCGACAATAGCGGAGGCTGCTTGGCCAGGCAGCATAGCTGGAGCCCTTGGCGAGCCTTCCCGGGCCTGTCTTTTCGCCTATGGTGACAGCGGAGGCATCAGGGCCGGCAGTCGCAACAGAGAGCAGTGCGGTTCAGCAATGCAGCCCCGGCAAGACAAGGACAGCCAGGGCCTGCCGTGAGGTGCAGGACTCCCGCGCTCCCCCCCCACATCGACCCTGGCCTGGGGGCGCTTCCCAGAAGGAGGGTCAAAGAGCAGGCGGTCGGACTGGGTGTCAGGCAGGGGAGGGGCAGACTGCCTTTATCAAAGTCAGAGGGAAGCTGGCACAGTACCTGCCCTGTGCTCTGTGATGTAATGGTTTGACCCAGAGGAGGGGGGATTCTCTGGATAAGCTCTCCCAGGTGACAATATAGGGAACCTGATCCAGTTGGCCATAAGGGTCAGGCTGGAAGATTTTTTTCTTTAACCTGCAAAACAGTATCTAGATTGAAGGCCCCGCCCTGTGGCCAGTCCAGTTTAAAAGTGGGCCATTCCAAGGAGCAGACCGCTTCCCAGCGTTACTTTCGTATTTCCAAAGACTCTATGTTTAACCTCCTTCCAATGATCTAAAGTCAGGGTCGATGGGGTGGTCACTTGCTGCCCCATGGTACCAGATTTAGACTCAAGTACAAACAGATACACAAAAGCAGAGATGCTCCATGAAAAAGACATGAAAAGTCAAAACCAAACTCAAAATCAGAAGCTGCGCACCACTACAGATTCAGATGGAGGTAAGCGACAAAAAGTCATGCCTCCTGGGAATTAGAGGAGTGACCTGGTCACTCTTAGCCCCTTCAGATTACTGGAGCATCCTCCAGATTTCATTGAGATACTGGCCCTACATAGGTACAATTTCTCAGAATACCAACGAATGCAAACTACAATAGTCACAGAAACAAAAAAAGCAGACAGGCAGACAAAGACAATATGAGCGCTCCAACCTCCATATGGGCCTGGAATGGGTCTGGAAGCAACTCACTTCTCGGCCAATGCACCAAAATGTTGGACTAGAAGTCCAAACATCAGGGAGGAGTTGCTCCAGACACCACTCACATAACCATAATTGATGCAAAAGCAAGAGGAATTTATGCTGTTATGACAGGGTCCTTCAGGTTCGGGATATAAAGGACATCCGATAGCTGCTACAGCCCATCTTTTAAAGCGAAAAGCCATTGACACAAGGGGGGGAACATGAAGGTTGTTTTCCAAGTTATTGGATTGGCTTATTCAAAGGGTTACTAACAGTGACTGGTCTATTCCAGGGCAGGAGAATAGCTTCCTGATCAGGCGAGATAAGGAGGAGCATCTGTGAGCCATCCTGACCTTGTCCCAGTGACTAAATCAACACATCAGGAACTGAGTCAACATCTGTGGGTTGTCTTTGCCTCAATTCCCAGAATGGAGTTCTGTTTGAAGATTATTCACAAGGACACTGGAGGATGAGTAGTCAGGATGTGTGTGGGAGACTGTCGGGTTTCCAAATGCTGAGAGGCTTCAGAAAATGTCTTTAGAGCTGAGAGGCCTCAGAAATGCATTTAGAGTCCTTCAGCGATGTGCCTGGTGTCTGGTTTAAATCGGTGGTGGCTTCTTTGTCATGGGTTGGCGCCAAATATCTGGACAATCCAGTTGAAGAATGTGTACCCTAGCATCCTAACCTCTAACAGCCCTGCTTAAAACACATTTATCTTCTGGGTGATGTAGAGGCAGTCCTCCCTCAGCTAATTCTACTTTGTGAAACTGAACTATTTCCAAGGCATTGGAAAATCCTTTATATCAGCAATTCTCCTCTTCTACATTGCGGCTTAGAAGTGCAGCGCTACCCAACAGGTGATATCCCTTGATATCCTCCACATAGTTAAATATAAATGGAGATTTATGTAAAAGTTAAAGGCAAAGTTCTCAATATTGAGAAAATACAGGAGAAATTAGGCTTCTCCGAGTTTGGCATATTGAAATTGACAAGAAAGATGTTTGTACACTCAGCGCCCTGCTCCCAATTCTCTAAGGTAATTAAGCCCAAAGCGCAAGTTATTCAGAGTTCTGTCCCTAGATTTAGGAATTAACAGGACCGCATGGGACTTCACAACACAGGGAATCTGGCGGCAGGTTCCCACACGGATCCCGGGAGGACGCACCATGCTGTCTCCCACCCCTCACCCTCTGCTCCTCCCCATCAGGAGACAGCATTTCCCCCGCTCACCATGTTGTGGTTTCTCAGCTCGCCAAAGCTCTGTTCATCATCTCCCTGCAACAGCAGATTCACTGCAGCACAGAAGCCACTGGCGCCAGGTCCTCTGCAAAGTCCATTCTGAAAGCGGACGCCCTGAAAAACCCGGCACTACTCCTGACTGGCAGGTCACCTGGAGGGCCTGATTGGCTAGTGAGGTCTGAGTGACAAGAACACCTCCCACAGAGCTGTAGTGTGCTTAAAGGCACAGCACAGAGGTTTCTGGTCATTTCTTCCACCCCAGTCAAACATCTTTTCTAGACTAACCGAGGTATGCATTTCAATATTACTTTCCCTGGCTCCAAAAGTAGACACTGTCATAATCTTGCACTCCATAGGAACTTTCCCTTTTTCCTCCAGGACACACTGTGGCTAGCTAGCTTATACAGTGCACTGTGCTAGGTGGGTGCAGGAATTCCCTGTCCCACAGGAGAAAGAATGCCCAGAATATTAACAATTAAAGAGAGTTTTAAGGTCATAAAAGTAGATGCTTATGCTGTGGCTTCATGCTGAGGTCAGATGAACTGAAGGTCCTTTTTACATGGTTTTCACAGATATTTCACACAACAGAAAAGAGAAAAGCAGGAACCAGATATCAAACAAGATGATAGGTCTTTTCCCCATCAGAGGGCTTGATGATGGTTTTATTACTGAAATTTGAAGCAAACTCCAGGAAAATGAATAATAATAAAAAGGGTAGTGTTCATGGAAATGTGAATACACAGAGAATAATGGAGCTAGAAGGAATGACTTCATGAGCACTAAGTTAGCCAGCACATCTTCCTCCATGGTAGGTGAATAAAATATACAACTGCAGTATTCAAGATTCTCCACATGAACAGGGCAGGTAGAATGAATTTCACCATGTGTGTATATGTAAAAAGTGGGCTTATTAGAATGTCTCACAAGCTGTGTTTCAGGTTGTCTAAAAATAGCTACTTATAAATGACAATTAAAGAATCCAGTAGATTGCGTCTCAGCCTTTTCCCAAAGATCAAGTGAAGAATCCAGTGGTTTTCCAGCCCATGAGGCTTGATGTCTCAGCTGGTTTTAAGTATTCACCAAAATTCAAAGAAGTAGTCTCTAGTACTAGTAAAGGAATGAGCTTGGTAGGCAGAGCAAGGTGACAACAAAGAGACTTTTCTACTTCAATATACTTTCTATGTAACTGCTGCTACCAGAAGGTGAGAAGGTTAAAGTTAGATCATAGTCTTGTTTGATTCAGATTTTCTTGTTTTGGTGATTTCAAGACAGGATTTTTTTTGTGTAGGTATGGAAATCATTAAGTAGGCTGAACTGGTATCAAACTCAGAAAATCCCAGTGCCTCTTGTTGTGCCCATATCATGACCCCCATACAGAGACCACCAGAGAGGTCCTTTAAAATCTCTTAGTACAGAAAATAGAACACTAAGACAAATAACTATTAAAGGGACTAAAGATAATCTAAGATAAACTATAATTATGCTCTAAACCTACATCATCCAAACCTCTCCAGAATCACAAAATTCTAATCAATTGATTATTCTTGCAGGAGGCCCAGTGTAGGTGTGGCGTTCTTCTGGGAACAACTGTTCACAGTTGTTTAGTCCTGTGCCATTAGGCAGAAATTCACAATGACTGGAAAGGTTACTGAGAAGTTTCTTTATGACATGGGGACTAGAAAGCAGAGAGAAGGAATACAGGAAAGGCCAGGGAAATATATAACTTGCACGGCACATCTCCAGTGACCTACTTCCTCCAACTATACTCTAAAGATCACACTAACCCCAAATGGTACCACCATCTGGGAAACAAGTCAATAGGCATATGAACTATGGGCTCATTTCATTTTCAAACTCTAACCATGGCAATGAACTCCTAAACACTAAAGCTAGACTTCACAATTGCTAGCCATTCTGTGTCATCTGTATATCTAACATCTATCCATCTGTTCACACTGTTTTCATAACCTGCTTTCTAGGAGATGACAGTGGGGCATGGGGGGGGTGATGTTAAAGTCCTTAGTGCAAGAATTAGATACCTGATTTTGGGTTCCCAGCACCCACATAAAATGTCAGGTTCTGGATGCCTATGCCTGTAATTCCAGGTCAGGGGAAGAAGCAGACAAGAAGATTCCTGGGATTTATTGATTAGCTAGAGTAGGAGAATTTGAGTGCTCCACTTTAAGATACTATCTCAAAAAAAATTAGAAAGACAGATTGATAGGTACATAGTTAGGTAGAGAGATAAAGCACTTGGGGTCCAATCTCAAGGCTACATGGAACTATCTGACAAACTAAACCAAAACTAAACAATACTGACAGAATATCTGTAGTTGAGAAGGCCTGAGAGGACAGGTGAGATTTTTTTGTAAGAAGAAGGAACTCAGTTTGAGCCCAAGAATCCATGCTGAAGAGAAAACGAAAAAAGTCACAAGGACTTTTAACACTAGTAATGGGAAAGGGACATGGAGACAAATGAGAACCTGGGGCTTGTTGGTCAGCTAGCCTAGTCTACTTGGAAAGTTACAAAGCAATCAGAGACCCTATCTGAAAAGAAATAGAAAATAAAAGTTTGGTCAAATCAAAGTCCTGAAACCAGAGATTCACTTCTGTCTTCCAAATATATACACACACACACATATATATATATATATATAATCACATACTTATATTTCCACAAGTATATACATACAGAATGCCCAAACATACACACACAGTTGTACAATAGCACATAGAAATTCATACAATAGTACATACAATTCATTGCTAGCTCTGACTGTGTCTTTCTATGGTTATTTATGCTGGTTTATATTTGTAACACACACATTCTCAGCTATTGAGTAGGTTTGATGTAAAAAAGATATCAACTTTGTGACAGGTTTTGAATATTTTGCAAAGCAAATCCCATGTACAAGGAACATCTGTGGTGGAGTGATTATTCTGTTGTATACTCTGAAGATTTGTCACTCAACTTGCTTTAATAAAACAATGACTGTCCAGCAAGATAGGCATGAGACAGAGGGAGCATGTCTAGATTGTGTCATGTTAATAAATGTTCTACTATGTGGAGAATATGTGTTAACTTAAAAATGTCACAGGTAGTTAGTAATAAGCCTGATATATTGGTCAAGTATTTTCAATTATTAAAATCCTCTATGTAGTTACTTTGAACTGATATGTAGGAAAGAAATGACTGTTTAAAAATGGCATTCCAGAAGAGCAGAGGTGTGTAAACGAATGCAGACAGATTTTAAATATATAATTATATATCTTTAATGTCAAAATAGACTTACAGAACCACCATTCCAGGGGAGACCAGGAAAGCAGAAGCGACAGCTGGGAGCTCGCTCGCCAAATTTATAGGCAGCCATTAGCCTGAGGCAAACACGCCCCCCAAGGGGCGGGGCTTATCCCTACATCTCCCCTTTTTGTCTAAATAAGACAGAACCAAACAAATTAGAACTATATACAATAACAACAAATAATAAATATAACAAACAATATTTAGAACAAAATCTTTGCTAAACATTCTATCTCAAGGAGTCCAAATAATGTAGACAGTAACTACAATTATATAATTTTCAACTCAGTCAAAGATCTGAGAAGGGAATAAACACTACTCAACAAACGAGATATATCCAAAATGTGCAACAATTGACAGAGACAACTGACTACCTGGGCAATCACCCAAAGTCTCGTTTGCAATGTTGAGTCAACCAATTTTGGCTAAGGCCTAACATAACTGACATACCATTTTTAAAGACAAGGAACTTTTCAAAACTATCTTACCCTGTCTTGGCAGGATATGACAGTCCTGTTTTATCCACTGATGCACGCTCTGTATCTCTGTCAGTGGTTGAGGTATGGGCATTTCTTTGCCCAAAGGCCAGTTCTGCCAAAAAGAAAGGCTCCAGGTGGAGTGTCTTTGATGCTCAACATTCTCTTGGGAATAGAGCGGTGTTGTCAGGAGCAATTGGGTCTCACTATCACGAAACTCTGAGTTAGATTAAAGACCATTTTCTACAACTCTTTGAAGAGGTCGAAGATTATCTATCTATACTGAGTATAATCTCAATATATCTAGAGAACCTGATTAGTCTAATTATAAATGACAAACTTAGATGACTATTTATCTATATAATTCTCAATATCTATCTAACTTAAAGACTAAGACAATAAACAACTGTGTAACAAATGAGGATAATGACCTCCAAATATAAACACTGTACAAATATACATTGCAATATGGTAAATATATATCAATACACAAACATTATATAAGTATCTTAATCAGAGGTAAAAATGTACACTGCAATATGGTAAATATATACAATATATATATATATATCAATAAATATATATCAATACATAAAAAATGTTTTAAACAGAGATAGAAATATGCATGCCTACAATAGTCAATATAACTTAACTTTGTATCAATATACAAGAATCGATACCAATATATTTGTCTAAAAGCAGTAACTCACAATTATAAATCTATTATCCCATCATTCCCTCTCTTTGTTTTTTCAAAATGACCCCTGAGCTTTTAAAATTCCTCCCCCAACCTCCCAACCCCTAAATGATGTCCCTAAACCCAGGGGTAAATTTTACTGGGAGAGGGGACGTCGTCCTCTAGAATTACTTCCAGCTGTCATGGGGGCGACGTTCTTTCTGGGGGATCCTGTGAAAGTAAAATGATGGTTAAATTTCAAGATCAATGTCTTTTAAAATCGCAAATAGTCTCTGAGTATTTTGTGGAGGTCTGGCCAGAATGTTGTACAAGATGTGCACCATTTCAGCTAACCAAATTGGGATCATCTTGTGCAGCTGGTATCCAAAACAGGTCTTGTAGTAGCGATATCAGTATCATGACGTCATATCAACCAGGTAGAGTTGTTGTTGTGGGGCCCCATCTTCTTCCTGGAAACATCAAATGTCACTTCAGGAAAAACTCATTGTTCATTATGAAAAACTTAAACATTAATCATATAGACATATATATATGTCTATATGATATATATATGATATATATATTAATACTTACAATATATATGTCTATATGATATATATATGATATATATATATTAATACTTACAAAATGTGTCCATCCATCAGTAATTAAATATTCAGGGTCGCTTAATTTCTTTGAAGATGAGTATTTTCCTGTGGAGATAAGAAAAGAACCCTGCCTCCAACCTATCTGTATTTCTTACCATCAGTATGCTCGACATCCTTAGGAAAGAATTGTTATTTATCTTTTCCAAGTGGCTTCTCTTCTTCAAACCGAACCTTTATTAATTTTGACGGTATCCAAAATTTTTCCTCACCTGTGGAGATAAGAGCAAAACCCCTTCCCCAACGTAGCACAAATCCTGGCTTCCATTGTGAGGTCAGCACATCCTTGAAATAAAGTGGTTGATGTAGTTCAGTAGACTTTTCCATTATCCAATGTCTTTCTGCTGCTGTTGTTTCCTTCTCATTAGCGTTGAGAAAATTCAAGGTTAACAAAGTGTTATGTAACCTATTTCTGGGGGTGTTTTTCACCCCTTTCTGTTTGCTCAACATATCCTTTATAGTTCGATTTGATCGTTCTATGACTGCTTGACCTGTAGGATTGTATGGTATACCTGTAACATGCTTGATAGTGTAATAATCAAAAAAACGTTTCATTTTCCTAGAAACATAAGCAGGACCATTATCTGTTTTTATTTGTGTAGGTATACCCATGATAGCCATGACTTCTAATAAATGAGTGATTACTGAATCAGCTTTTTCTGAACTTAAAGCAGTTGCCCACTGAAAGCCTGAATAAGTGTCAATGGTGTGATGAACATATTTTAATTTGCCAAATTCTGCAAAGTGGAACACATCCATCTGCCAGATTTCATTCCTTTGGGTGCCCTTTGGATTAGCCCCTGCTGGCAGTGGCATTTGGTTATAGAAAGAGCAAGTAGGGCATTTCTTTACAATCTCCCTAGCTTGTTGCCATGTAATTGAAAATTCTTTCTTCAAACCTTTGCTATTAACATGATGTTTTTTATGAAATTCAGAGGCTTGTAGCACACTACCAATCAATAATTGATCAATTTCTGCATTACCTTGTGCTAGAGGACCTGGCAGACCCGTATGGGATCGGATGTGTGTTATGTACATAGGCAAAGCCTGTTCCTGATCAAATCTTGAACCTGTAGAAACAATGAGGTTAGT